GTTCTCAAATTTTTGAACAATAGATAGTCATCTGGAGAATTCGATTTTCTATATTTTCTTAAGGCCAGATTTTTGTATTTTAAACCCTTAATGATGTCACTATCAAACCAGACCGGATAACTGCCAGAAGTATTTTTTTTTCTTTGGTACATAGATCTCTAAAATTCCATCCAGTACAAAGTAAAAATGGGACAATGCATTCTCAATATCAGAATATTCATCAAGAAAGGACCAATTTACTGATAACAAGGCCTCATATAATGAACACAAATTACATTTTCGGAAGTTATACTCAGATTCAAATGAAACTGGAAATTTTTTTTGATGAATCTTAAAAATACCAACTTCAATTTCGAGGGCAGGATGATGGTTGTCCTCCTTTAGAAACGGATTTTGTGATTTAAAGACAACACATTGATCACTGTTGGTTAAAACAAGATCCAAGAGGCGATTATTTACATTTACTATTTTATTGTACTGGTCCAAGTTGTAAAATGCCATAAAATTGTTAATACATTGGAAAGAGACTGAAGCTGCAACTTTATTCATTGCACTTGTGACAAACTCTGGACAGTTGAAGTCACCTAAGATAATTAATTGATGTTCATACAAATAAGACATGGAACATAAAAAATCAAAAAACAGTACGTAATCATTATTGTTGCAAGAAGGTGGTATGTAAACGACTAGAATGTAGATATTGCGGAAATTAATATTAATTTTTACTATGACTAAGTCTATAAGAGGTAAAATATCACAGATGTTATCACATATTGAATTATCACAGATGCTAGCAGAAATAGTACGGTCAACAGCTAGGAGAACACCTCCACCTCTTACATGGTTAGACATTTTAAAATCACGATCTTTTCGGAAGACGTTATAATTAGCTATATCAAATAGTTCCGCATCATTTATACTATTGTTCAACCAAGTTTCAGTAAGTGCAACTAGTTTAATATGAGATGCAAGAATTGAGGATATGTAAAACTCACCGATTTTTGTACACAAACCTCTGACACTTTGGTAGTAACACAATAATGAATTACGTTTAATATTAAGTGGAAGATCACTCACCTGTGAAAAATCACCAACGTCGTTATATACGAGTAACTTTGCAGATTGCAGTAGTTGCTATTCAGTGCCAAGTATTAAGATTTTAAGTTTTCCAAGATAATTCTGGTACACAGGACATTTATCCCTATCCCAAACTGCATGATCTACTTGCACATTCGGATCTTTTTCTTTTAAAGAACAGCAATGAGTACATTTTAACAAATTAGAATCACAATCTTTTAACAAATGAGCACCGGCACATTTGGGGCAAACAGGATCTCTCTGAGTACATTGATTCGACATATGGTTAAACCCGGAACACTTGAAACATCGTCGAACTTCAATCGCATCCCAAACACGACATGGATCATACCCAATCAGTACTCTCCCAGCATTAATTAAAGACCTGTAAGATTCTATATCAATTTCGACAATCGCTTGTTTGCGCTTGATGTTACTGCGTATAGGTTGATATTTTTTTAAAACACACGTATAGTTTGCACTGAACAAAAACCTGTTTTCGTACAATAAATAGTTAACTACTGCATCTTCTGGTATATCCTTATCAATCCCAGAGATTCTAATTCTAGGATTTAAGGTTGGTAACTGCTTAATTTTATAATCCGGTAAGGTTGTAGAAGCTAAACTCTCAAATTTATCACGATCACCCTCATTGTTACAACTTATAATAACACTACCATTACGCCCAGTTTTAACCGAAGAAATACCAATATTAGACTTGAAGGGATCAACTTTCTCTAATAGATCTTTTTTTGTTGTTGACACTAACTGATTTTCATCTTTAGGTTGCAGAATTAAGGTAGGTTTTTTCTTAATTACCATACTAGCGTACGAAGCAGTTTTTTCAATGAAGATAATAACTGTGTTTCCGAAACTTTTGTAAACCTGTTTATATAAAAGTAATATACACACATTTTTTTATACGAATGATACTTGAATTATTAATAGCTAACGTATTTAACAATTTAAAAAATCGTATTCGGTACTTTCTGAGTGATATATACTGAGTTCCATAAAAATCCGAACACCTTGAATTAGTTGACTGATAAAACTGAAAGTTTAACCAAACGTGCATTAAATCCAACCAAATAAATGATTAAAATAACAGGCCTAAAATTTGTGAAATAAACACAAACACCGCTCCGGTACGACGCCTATGGATTCTGGTATGTACGGCGTTGATGACTTATCGGTCGGGCGGCCCGACGTTCGTTAAAGGAAAGCCTGGAAGCGAATGTAGTAACGGGCCCAGAAAACCCTCGGAGCGGCGTGCTCGATCCATCGAGAGCAACGTATATGTTTAAATAGGGGCCACTGTCGGGAACGATTATTATTCAGTGAACAAATCCACTCGAGAGTGTCAAACAAATCCAGACAAGTTGCGCCGGAATTATTTTTTGTACATAATCGCTGTAATAGTTAGTCGTGTAAATTCGAGTTAATAAGAAATAAAGTGTTGAGTTTACCCACGCCGATCTTAGTCACCCGTTCAACGTACACATGTAATTTATGACTCGCTGTTTAGTTTTTACCCGAAACGTCCAGTGTTTTGGGGAAAAAATCAAAATTATAAAACAAAATTTTGCAATTTAATTTTGAATCTATAAAACCAAATACTTTGAAATTTTGCGGATGTTTTAAACTTATGACAAGCATGATAAATTTTTAATCAAACATATTTACTTATCCTCTCCAAAAAATTGTTGACGTCAGCTCAAAATTCTACCCAAAATGTGCAAAATATGATGATCTTTTACTTGTGATTTATCATTGCATTTACATTTTTTAGATTTGCTTAAACAGGTGGGTCAAAAAAAATTAATGAGTCTATTTATTTTATTGATTAAATCAGGAACGGCTCACTCTTTTTTCACAGTAAATTTTGAGAATAGAATACTGTTATTTTTAGTATTACACCACTCCAAGTTGATTTTTTTTTTATATTTCAGAGTGTAATTTAAAATGGAATAAGTATTTACTTATTTTTATTAAACAGAGTCCATCCGTCGAATGTTTTCTCGACGTTTCATGATCCTTAGAGCATGAAATAATAGGTTCTCCGTTTCCGACTATCCGTTTGTCGTCTTCCGTCTGTTGGCGATTGTATTAGACAGATCTCCGAAACTAGTGAACTGTTTTGTTTGCATACTCCCCATTTGGTGGGTTGAAATTAAAATCCCGAGAAAAAGTTATTTCGCTTCAACTTTTATTATTCACTACAACACTGCTCACTATGTATCGATGTTAGTTATGTTTTCGAAATTTCAGCAAATTGGGTAAATCGTTCCTGAACCAATCGATAAAGAAGTCATTTAGCACGTTTTTTTTGAGACATTTGTGTGAACACATTATTTCTTAAATTTTAAAAAAGCATTTGTTATAATTTATAATTTTTTCAAGAGCATAAATATGTTAATTGATACAAATTATAATGTTACTATGTTTCTAAAACCTTAAGAAATTAGATAAAGTATTTCTGGGACATTCTGCAAAATAAATCGATTCATACAACCTATGCAAGCAATTTCATACATTATTAATAATAAACACTGTAGCATTTCGAGTGATCATGTCTTGAAAATCATATATAGAAAGCGCAACAATTCATTATTGTCACCTAAATACAAGTACCTAAACAATTACTCAATAAAAACTGTTTTTACAGTCTGGTAGATTTCATAACACTAACTAAAATTATATTCCAGTAGCAGAGTACTGCTTAAAAAAATTACGAGACAAAATTGTATTTTTTTGATAGAACAAACTGTGTATTTTACACATATTGATTTCTTCCACATGGATAGTAAACTTTTTATGCTAAAAATAAGTTTTGAATTTGTTTCCTTATTTTTTGAAACAATTAATTTTAAAAATCATTATTTAGTATTTCTTGCTGAAAATATCTGTTTTGTAAACAAAAGTAAAGGGTGACCACAAAGTTTAATGAAGGTTATGCACGACTTTTACAGTTTAGTCAAAAACATGACAAATATTTACATGGCCAACTTTAATCTGAAAACTTTTTGATCACCCGTTATATTTATTTAAAGCACCACGCCTAAATAGATTGTAATTTGGTTCAATTACTGAATATTTGTCATTGTAAGAATACTACAAATGTGCACAATTGCAGACTTTCACCATACTTTCGTTTTTAAAAATGCCGAACGGTGAAGTTTTAAATGTGATGGTCTTTTTAAATTTCCCTACTAGCCTGTTTCATTGCTTTCTTTTGTTTAAGGAATTTAAATACACATATAGTACTATATTCTATTTAAAAAAGGGTAGTTGTTGTGTGTAACTTGCCAAAATAACACCCTATTTAATGAAAATGAACGTGTAGGGCTAGAACTAGAAAATAGCTAGTAAGTTCTATCAGAATATATCCAAGGATGTTTTTTTACTGTTTCCAGATAATTTATTCTTCATCAATTCCATTAACGAGGGAAACGACAAATGATACCCTTTACTTAAAAAATTAAGTTAGTAAATAATTTAACTAAGTAAATAATAAAAATTTTCGGTTAATTTTTACCAATGTGTTATACAGCACAAGCAAGTTGCTTACACTTTGTCTTTGACAAATATTAAATAAAAACAGTTTTACCTTCAACTTTGCAAATTCACTGCAATAAAATCACTTGAACTTAACAACATTCTTTTGTCAAGAGAGAACGTTGCACCAACCTTGCAACAACGCAATTGTTGTGGTTTTTTCCAGATTCTTGTCCCAGATTTCTCAAAATTATTAAAATTAATCTTCCAAAAATGCACTTAGTCATTATCTTCGATCGGACCTCCTTCGGTTTTAAACAATAATTAGTTCTTCAGACCGGACAAATTCTTTTATTATTTCTCCCCGCTGCCTTACCTTTCACCTTACCCAGCCCATCTGGTGTCTCTCGTAATTTTAATAGTTAGCTAAAGAACTTTGAAGAACACCATTCACTGACGGCGGTCGTGTTGTCGGTGTATTTGTGTCTCGTGATCGTATTTGTAAGTATATTTAAATTCTGTGCAGACTTTTCGGACCTTTGGCGTGTACAGAATTTTTAATGTTCGAGGTGGGGTTTCAAGTGCAATTCAATTCTTATAGGTAGAAAGCTCTGACTCTCAGTTCGGCAGGATATGTGTGCTTTTCAATATTGATTTGTGGTGATTTTAATGATAGGATAAGACAGCAACATGTCGGTAAGTTCTGTGAATAGCAATAGTAACTTTAATTATACTGTCTTTGTTAAAGTAAAAAAAAAATGCCACTTAATTTTCACTTTTAGTTTCACAAAATGCAATTAAGGTAGTTTCTAACTAGTGTCAAACAATAAAACGGTAATAAACAATTGTGAAAACTAATGAATTCACTAGATTGATCTTGTTTTTATCGAGTTGAAATGTTGACATTGCTTCGAGTTTTAATTAATTTTTATGTATAGATATTTTTGTATTTCATGAGTTTGTAATAAATCACTCGGTACGTGGTTTACTTGATTTTTATTGTTTCAGTATTTAATAAGGAAGTGATTTTTTTTAATAATTGATTTTCCAACGTACTAAGGTACGACTCTTTTTTAAAAATATAAATCACTGTTTATATTTACCAGTCACTTTATTTCTGTTAGGTAACTGAATTAACGAATTTGTAAAACATGCAGCGTGCGATCAGAAAAACAAATTCAATCAGACATTCAGGAATGCTGTCTGATAAAGTTTTTCTCGGTAAGACACATATGTTAAAAACAAATCTGACCATTTTTGACAAAGACTGTCGAAATTATAACGTATAATAAAATTGTCAAAACTTTAAAATGTCAGTCAAAAATGTTCTCAAACGTGATTATACAACCTTTAATTCATACAAATGTTTTTCTCAAAGTTAAAAATAATCTAAATAATGACACTGATACAGGTTGTAAAGTTGATTTTTATCATAAATCTGTATCTCTTTCAATAATCAGGATATTGCCTGTGGACTAAGATTTCACACACCCAGTAGACATACATAACATATAACTAGTCAATTATCATATACAGATTTTATCTAGCTACTAACATAAATATTTTTACTGAAATCAGAGTAAGTTAAAAAATCGTTTTGAAACTATCTAATCCCCAATCAATTAATCACTGTCTAGGAGGTGTTAAGCTAATTCACCCATATCACTTAACTAGTCAGTTTTACTACTTATCGAAATATACAAAAACTTATCAGCTATTTCACTATTGTGAAAAGTGACAGTGATGTATGATGATGTGTGTTATTAAGGAAGAAACTTGCTAGCGGCCAAAAGAAAGCTAATAATAACTTTTATCAGCAGGTACTCATTATTTTTGTAAGTAAATTTTCTTTTCAACAGATAGGTGTTTATTTTCGATGACCCAGTGCACAAATATGACTGCTTTGACAAATATGACAGTATATTTCACAGTGTTCTGGTTTATCAACATTTACGATTCGTGAATTTGTATCCAGCAGTAGATCTGAAGTGGATTTCTTTGAACTATATTGGTTATTTATTAGTTATTACTAAAATATGGATTGCCTTGGTAATCTTGATTGCCTCTAAGATATTTTTTGCAGACGAAAACTCAGGTTCTAGGCCAAACAGATGTATGGTGTTTGCGGTTAACCAAATGTTCAATCTTGCGTGTAGTATATATCATCCACCAAAGGTGATAAGTCCTTTGATGCATGAAATAATGATACACTTACTTGTAAATTGGTCGTTTATTTCAAACCGTGCAGTAGTTTTTATTATGTAATATTTTGAGACGGCTTTCTATTAGAACATTATTGATAGTGTTTCCCTGTACAACGGAAAACTTGGATAACATTGACGCCTCACCTTTCTAATTTTGCAATAAAATGCCGTTGTCGTAAATCTTTACATCCGAGAAGTAAGCAATTGATAGGTAGATACAGGATGTATAATTATAAGTCGTTTAATTACTAATCCGTGAGTCATTTTTGAGGCATTTCTTTCTAATCTTTTAATAATCATATTTCGGCTGGGTATATCCGTTAAATAAACCTTGGACTAACAATGACATTTAACCTATTGCAACGCATGCCACTGACAGATTCCAAAAGTTACCAGGCAAATAACTTTCAATGAAAGAATTTTCTGTTTATGCACATTGACCCTATTCGACACTATTGTATGCATTTTATCAAAAGATCACATACTTAAGCGCTGTTAAATTGCTATAGCTGACAATTTAAAATATGCTAATGATGTGAATCGCAGCACATTTAAATAGTGTAGTGTAGATAAACCCACCAGAAACAATATACTATTTTAGTTCGATAAAAAATTTCTAATTGCTCTTAAGTGTGTGTACTGAATTATTAATTAACAGAAATTGAAATGTTACTCATCGGTCATCAATTATATTATGAAATTAAAAACTCTCACTTCTCTAACTGTGCCATGCCCACTGGTACAAGTTTTCAGATACCGTTATCGGTATTTTGTAATTCACTTTTCTTCATTTCCTCAACTTAACGCCAGCAGAAACTTTATATATGTGGATTCCTGAGTGAAAGTGATACGGCTACAGTTTTACGAGTAAACTGAAACAAAAAATGTCGTGAGAAAGGTATTGTATGCTTATACATAATTAAAAGTGTTCTTGCACTCTCTAGAATTAATTTTTAGGCCATTATCAAAAGACTGGTGGCAAATTAAGTGACAAGGTTATAAATTATAATACATCAGTATGATGTCTTCACAATGGAGCACTTATTTAGAATTTTAACAATCAACAATATTTTTTTCAGAATTTGTAGTAGATGACTAAACTAGGAACGTCTATTTTAAAATTTTGGAGTCTTTAACCGTGGCGTAAAATTTTTTAATAAAATTCACCTCCTACAAATCAAAAACAACAGTTTATCGGAATGTATAAGCTGTAGCCGCATAATATTCAAGAGGACAATGCCTCCGATTCTCCAAATTTTATCTCTATAGAATCATCCCACTGTAGTCAAATTAGCGACGCAAACTAACAATCAATTCAAAGAAATCCTGAATTTTAAATTAAGCATCAGACAAGATGTAAGGTACAAATATAGAAGGTTGTCTCATCCATTTTAGGACCTGAAGTGTCGGCGGGTATTTCTGTCCAGGGACAATACCCATCTTACAAGTGTGGGTTTAACTTAATATTCTAATTTCAAGATGAATATATTTTTTTGGATGATTCATCATAAAAATTTGTTAATGGCATGCAAATTTTATGTTGTTAACTGTTTCAGTCGTTTGCGTTCTACAATCATTACACTGGTTACGTTCTAAGATTGTGTAATATCAAATTCATCCATAATAATAATAAAATTTATTGAACCTTATACAAGAAATAATTAAATTTCTTCACTGTCTCTGATTGCAGTGTAATAAAAAAGAAACACTGTTTGCCAAGATGTAAAAACTGTTCTAGTGACCGTATTTCCAGTTTACTCAAGTGACAATCTTTCTATGCAACCGGAATAAAATCAGCAGATTTTGAGATCGTGTGATAATTTCGCTAAACCTTTGCATTTTGAGAAGATATGTAAAAGTTGTTTTACCGGAAATACTGAAAAACATATTTATGTGTCACCATGGTTCCAGTGATCGATTAAAAACCTAAACGTTATTAATTTAAAAGTAAATGTTAATTCCAAAAAAAGTAAACTATGAAACTGTAACTTACGTAACAGAAAATTCTTACATATTATAAAGTTGAAAATATAAAAAAAGTCGTAAAAGCAAACAACATAAGCTTGATTTTAGGTTGTTTTAAATTAACAGTGAAGTCATTACTTTAGAAACATGCTCTATTTGCAAAACGTAATGTCTTGTAAAAAATTTAAAGTACTTAGAAATCCGTTATATACACATTTCACCAGAGACAAATAACCGATGTTTTTGTAGATAATAATTTTTCAGTACTTGTAAATATTGACCACTTTAGCAAAAGTCACTTTCTGAGAAATATGACTCTGATTTGTCGGAACAAACAGAGGTGCTTATTTCCATCCAAAGCTAACGTATTAGAAATGAAACCGAAATTAACCGTTAACATGATTAATAAATACTCTTGCGTCTACCGGTGAACTACAGTTAGTTTACGACGGCTAAGTATACAAGGACGAAACCATTACGATGTGTTACACACAAATTATGAATGACTGTGTTACGGCTCATTTGCTTTCATAAACCTACGTCTGTATATTTAAATTCGCAAAACAAAAATGTTACGCACTTTTGAATTTGAAAAAAAGTCTTATGTTTTTATTTATGCTTTTTAAATTTTTGGTCACAGAGACGATTGAGTAAATATTTGGAATTTACTTCTTACTATTGTTCAGAAATACACAAAAAAAATTATTGACTTTGCATTAAGTACGCACTAGTCAGTAATTAATGCTACTTCACTGGCCATTTCAAAGATTTACCTCACTTCACGTCCTCCTTTTTTTGGCAAACACAATTAAATTATTAAAATGTTTAAATCATCAATTAATATTTTTTATTAACATCAGTTTACTTTTAAGTAGGTATAGGTCAATCTACTCCGTTCAATATGATGCAAAGTTTAACCCGGAATCAAACGCTTTGACCTTGTTGAAAAATGGAATGTACGTCTCTCTTTTTCCATTCAATTTATTCTCGAAACTAATGCGAAATATGTGGTCTAAATGCTATCAAAGCAGTAATTTTAATTAATTTTAGAACCGATATCTCTGAAAATTCTCCATTATGAATAAAAATCTGTAAAAATATGTGCACACAACTTCCTTCGCCCCTGAACTACAAGCCAAAACTCGCACCTTGGATTATATTTTGCAGTAAAAATTTGTCTGATGACTTTTTGGACGGACACTAGGAACATTTTGGTGGCCACAATTGGAGTAATTCTGACCCGTAAAATTAAGAGCATTCCTTCCAGAGTTCGTCCTTGAGAACGGACAATTTGCCCTTGCTGTCAACACCGACTTACTTTTAATCGCATGTCATAAAAACGTCCAGCTTACCACCCCTATAGTAAGAATAATTTATGGATCCAACTCATTGAAAGACACTCATTTCTCTCGGTATCGGATTCTGTATAAATTCTTAACTAATAATTTGTATTTTGCCATTATTTAATTTTTTTCTGCCAGTGATATTATATAAGTAAAGTCGTTCGGTAATTAATAATTTAACTGT